TGCGGCCTTGTTTCTTCTGCCTATTTGACGCCCCCACTTAATGGCCTTGCTCTCAAGTAAGCCACTATGAGCCCCCTTGACAGCTAGTTCGCTCAGTCTCGTTCGAAGACCCCGTTGGGGTGTGGTCCTGCGAAGTCGAAAATAGGCACGTGCGCGCCAAACCAGGTGTGTCGCACCCCTCTTGGCCCGAGCAACACTCCTCTCGAATGTGTGCAGTCTTTCACGTCCATAGTCTCAAGGAGTCCGATGATGAGGCCCACCTGACTGTCAGTTCTCGCATACAAACACGAGACTGCAGCCGAATGAACTTCCTCTGCCAGAGAGACATCCAGTAAACAGCAAATATCCGGGGTTGTGAACAGACTGATGTACTTGATTCACCAACTGTCACATTTATTTAAGGTTTGCCGCGATGCAGGCTGGAGCACTTGAGAGGGCATGCAAGCGGGCTGATACGCCCTCGCAAATCAGCAATTTTGTAGGCCTGTTTCCCCTAAGCCGTCAAATATGACCGTCAATCTGACTTTTATATAATAACACCAATGACAGTTAACTGCGCCTTCTGTAAAATCCGGATTTGTCAACACCAACTTTGACAGACTTGCTATGCTAACAATGAGTGCGGTCGCTGCACTGAAGAAAGCTGCTTTGTTCATTATGCCATGTAGAGCCTATGTGGGAGTTCTCGGCATTGTGTAGGGACTAATTATATTTATAACCAGACCCCCCCCCTTGACAGAAAACGAAAGTCCGACGCAACAACACGAAAGAGTAGTACGAGATGGTAAAAGAATTAGGATGTAAGATAATTCAAAAATCAAAATCTTCCGCTAAAAACTCCGAAGGCCAGAATCCGAATCTAGCTCAGACAAATTTAGGGTCCAAATCAGACTAAAGAATTAAATCCTAGGGGAAAATACTGGAAGTGTCATCATTTTGAATCCAACTGTGCGTAATTCCTATGTGAAACACTCAGTCATTTTCACCCACTACACATCATCTCCCATTTTTATAGCAAGAGATTCTCAGAAGGTGAGAAGACCACCAACAGATTGTTAGATGCAGGTACTTAGTACGAAATCTAAAAGAGGAATAATGTTGAGTTCGGGCGATTCGGTTTAGAGGAGTGGTCTCTTAACTGCGACTTGCGACCCACGTACACTGGGCATGTCACTCCTACACTCTGCCTCTCTGGTCCTACCGGATGAACTGCAGGAACACGATCAGAAGGGTTCTTTTCAAGGCCTGACTATTGGATCGATCTTCAGTAGATTATCTTAGGGTAAGGGAATACCATATTAGCAGCATAGGTACTAGCTAAAAGCGCAGACGCACGTGTTTCGCCGATATTCTACTGCTGCATGAAACAGCTGCGAGGAGTTCGGCTCATCAGTGGGTCCCTCAACATTCCTCGTCTGCTTTCTGGTATATACTCCAATCTAGAAATCGTTGCTTTTCAATTTCCCCAGAAATTGACTGCGAACTTGGAGTAGAGTAGTATATTCTAGGGTCCATAGGGGCAGTTCAGTTCAGGTTATTTGAGGGAAATATAGGTGTTGAACCTTTTAACTCCCTATTTGTTACAAGGAGGCGAACTATATCAAAAATTTGAGAATGGAAACATCAAACAGCTACAGAGTTTCTTCAGATTGGTAAAGTTTTCGAAACCAGACAGATAAACGAATTGTTCCAAGAGTTAAAAAACATTAACGGTAGGATCCCTGTTGGTAGCCCTCCCGGTACTGAAATCGCCCGGCTCCGTATCTTACGGAACCGGTGGTAATGGGAGATATACGGGTGGGGCACTTGTGTGCAGGCGTCAATGACGTTTATAGTGTATGCCCCGAATTGATGTCCCTGCTAAAGTCGTAGCCGAAATTAAATATGGCGAAAAATGAAAGAAAGATATAAAAACGAACGTGGATACTGAGTACGGTCTGCGGAATTAATGCATCCTAGCTCCATTTTGGGTTGGGCGTTCCTGATTTTCCGAAAATAGTAATTTATTGCCACTAAGGTCACATGTATGTTAGAAACTGAGGCAGTAGTTGTGTGCTAGACGCGAATGTTGTAGTAAGCAATGTGTAGAGCAATTAGCCGGGAGGGCTACCAACAGGGATCCTACCACATTAACGTTACTAAATGTGCTGTACAGTAGTCTGTTTATGGATAGTTGGTACTATCTCAGTTTCTGAGGTAGACGAATTAAATGCCGAAATTTTATGTATATACGTAGACGGGCCACTGGATCGCTGAAATACGAGCGTTACTCGCCCGATGTTTCGTATTCTTGCTCGAATCCACCACCAGAAACAATAGCGATACGGGTAGTTCATGCACAAGGGGCTCGAGTATTTGAGGATACAGTCGCCATGCTACCGCATGCCTATGAAAATCCACAGCTCCCTCACTTCATCGGGGACTGTTGCACTTGGTGTGGTGATTGTTCGGTGGCCGATATTCGAGACGCTAATCGTTGCAATTTCATCACGGGTGGTGGATGTTCGTGTGATGATTGCTCGACCATCTGGCCCACCGACCCTGGCAGCGAGAAAAATGTCCATCAGTGCGCTCTCTGCCTGGCTGATTACTCCGTCTAAGCTAAGTTCCAGCACCGAATATGGCAGAGGAAAGTCACTGCACTAGTTAATGGACTGGGGGTCAATGAGCCATGACTCAAGCAGCTCGCGCCGAACGCAATTGCCATCCCTAGTGAGAATTTCGGTCTCATCAAATCCAAATGTGTGGCCGGATCTCGCCGAATGAGCAGCAACTTGAGTGTTAGCGTCATTTCCCCGCACTGCTGCAGCGCGTTCGGAACAGTCTTCCCGTTTAACGGATTGTTCTATCCCGACGGGTTTGATGGAAGAGAAGGCGGGTTCTGGAAACAAACATCCTATTCTAAGTCTGCGGAAAACAATGGCCTCCTTAGCTCGTCAGCTCTCATCCATCTATTGGAGTTCTGACCGTTCTCGAACCTTCCGACCAATGGCGTGCCAATCGCGTTGGGCGTTCTGGAATACTCTGACCTGCAGCGTCGCACGTTGATTGGCCATTTCTCAAACTGGAAGCCCCTTGCGAAATCTCGAGTATTTGGACCGCACGCGTGAGCAGGGACTTCATGCGCATTCCATACAGCAGCATATGCTGATTGGCTGGCTGGTTTGACGTGTGTATTTCCCAGCCCGTTTGGCCTACTGCGCGGCGCGCGGTCACACACTTCTCCGCCTTAGACCGCGATCCCATTGTGGTTCGCGTCTACGCAACACCGATGTAGTTGCTTTGACCGCAACTACACCAGATCCGATAAACGACCTCAGACGTTTCTGGTCGTGGTAGTGAGTCTTTCTGTTTCCTTATATGACTCCTGATGGTTGCCTCCGGTCTATGTGCAACCCAAACCCCAAGTAGTACGAGGCGGCGGACGGCTCCCGGAACGTTCTTCACGTACGGAAGAGTTCGCCAAGATTTGGGGTCCGTGCGGTTGGGCCTTTCGTCGCGTTTGCGTACGCACCGGTTGACAAAGTTGAGTGGGTAACCATCGGTTGTGAACGGCCGTCAAAGGTACTGTAGTTCGACAATCGTCTTCTGACTCAGTGCAGTGGCTAGAACGGCTAGTTAAGAAGTGGCAGAAGAGTTGAAGGATCGAGAGGGGTGTCGGGAAAGAGATGACAGTAGGTATTCATTCAGAGGATTATCCAGGAGGGTGGTCCACGCTGACGGCCGCTTCCCTGGCACCGAGCTGGACGCAGGCCGTGCTGTCCCACCCGACCATTTGGATTGAGCGTTTTTAGTAATTAGTCGTGATTATCGGAGGTAGCTCAAGATCTTGGCCCACTTTGCCAACAGAAATATTCACTGATACGTAATTCACGAAGGAAGGAACAGCAGCTGCACTTCCTTGAAGTGTTCGTCCGGCAAAGTCCAAACGGCGAAACTGAGAGGGCAGTGAACGCCACAGAAACTCTTCAGTCTTCACAGCGGCCGTCCGGTGGTACAAAAATGAAACTGTGTGAGAATGTCCCTTAAACTGAGCCAGACTCATTGCAGCTAACCGAGTGAAAAAACCATCGTGCTAACACATCCGTCCCGGGAGACAGAAACAGATATGGCATGTCCCGCTGCACGCGAAGCACGTTGCCGAAGCGGCGGGCGCATCACCGCGGGGCTAGGTGTTTGAATTCTACACTAACTCAAAGCTAACAAGCGCACCATAATCACAAAAATGAAGGACCAAATAAATCCCAAGGAGCATTCGGGTGTAGTGTATCGCATGCTGTACTTGTAACTACACAGGTCAGACTAAACGCATGGTAGGATGGCGTGCACACAGGGACGGCCAATCATCCCCCCGTGGCTGTCCACAAGTTAGAAATGGGCCATTAGTTCAACCTTGCAACCACCAAGGTAATCGCCCTCGCCGGAAGCAAGACAAGGTGGTAGCCGATTGACGTTTGGGTCAGGCAGACAGTGGACGGGGACGATAATACCTATTGGATAACTTCGGGCGCCGGTAAACGGAGAACTGTTTCACCTGAGTACCAAACGTACGGCTGGAACTGTGGCCAGACTATACTTACTTTACGGGCCTGGAGTTGTTTCAAGCTCGATCCGGGTCACCTATTAAAAAAATATCCGGAAGAAATCTACTTTAAAACGACGTTTGAAGGCAGACTGCACCTCGAGACCTTTATTTCTATATGCACAGTAGGGAATGTTAGGATGAGAGGATGGCAGAAACAGTCGCATAATGGACAGGAGCAATGCAAATCGAAAGACACGCTTGTCAAAAAAATTCAATAGGCGCAGCAAAAGACGCCCATGCTCACACATGTACACTGGCTAGGTTTGAAGAATGAAACACGGCAACTAGGAGCGGAGGTGGTGTCTTTTTTACAGGCTATTTTGGAGCCCAAGGGCCAGGCAGAGGGGTGTGTACATGTCTTTAGAGGTGGCATTGCAAAAGGGTGGGGGGATACTACATGAAAGCACACACTAAATTAGGTTGAGGTCACGAACACACCCACAAAGGCGGGCCGCAGAGTTCGGTCTTGCAGGCGGAAGCCCACTTTTGTGACGCTGGCGATGGTATTGGGTTGATTTTCTCCCTCGATGGGAACCGTGAAAACGGCCTCATGGAGGTTTGGGTCGAACTTGTCCCCGACTGCAGGAGCGATCTTGTGCAGGTTGTGCTTCCCGAAAACCTTGGGACAGAAAAGGAGACCATGAAAACCAGGACTGGATGTGTGCCGAAAAGCAAAATCTAAAGGCACCAGGATGGAGTCTCGAGCGAAGCGTCCGCTTGCTGGGAGTAACTGGTGTGCACACAAACAGAACGACAATGCCTATCTATGTGCATCGTTGGGGAATCAGAATCGAGGAAAGCAGGGCGCTCTGTCAGACGTAGAACCATGCGGGCGAGTGTGACTCGAGGTATCACATTAGTAAACAGTTGGCGAAAGCGAAAACACGCAGACGCTTCCAGTTACATACGATTTGCACCTGTCTACTAACTAAGGTGGGTTAGTCAGTCAACAGTCCACGGCAGGACAGAGCAGCTGGTCTTGTTTTATGCTATCGGCAACAGCTGCTGATGCTGTGCTGTGAGTGCGACTATCATTAGAGCACCATAAAACCTCACTGACAAAGGTCCAGGCGCGCTGGTTGCCGCGGACGTCGTGGCATTGGTCAAGATTTGCGGTTTAGGAGCTAAACTAGGGATTTCAGAGTTTGGTGTAGGTTTCACTGTCCTCAATGTGCTTTTTGAAAAGAAGTCCAGTCCTCAAGACGTCACAAGGAGGGTGAGTTTAATGGTGATTTATGGTGGCCAGTGCCCTCATCAGACTGATTGGCATTTAGCGGAGCGGCTGCCTGGCCGACCTTAACCTCCCACATCCTGCTGGTATTGCTAGTGTTGGTGCGTCAGTGCTAACTCGCCAGAATTGAAAGCCTTTCTAGGCAGCAATTAATCTACACGGGAGACCATCTCACTACCAGCTATTCATGAACACGCTGGATAATCAACGGGAAGACTAGCCAGACAGCCTTGTCTGTCCTCGAAGGAAAACATGCTTATTGGTCCTGAGGCCTACACCGATTCGAGCCGCCTCACACGTACCATTGCCGGTCACTCCGAATAACGGAAAGTGAACCCAACTGAGAACGAAGACATAAATTGGAAGCAAATACGTGGGGTCAATTTCCAAGGCGGCCGCCCACAGACTTCGATGAACGGAGGCATTTTAACACCTGCGCGCGCCGAAAAATATTGACACGGTACTCACGCCAGACGGCTATCCCCTTCCATTCAGGCGCGATGTGCTTGATAACATTTTGGTGTTTAGCAGACTATTGTCGAAGACCATAGATTTAAGGATAATACAAAGTCCACGGCAGTGCTAAACGATAAAGCTCAAATCCCGAACAGGATGACATGGCTGAAAAACAACCTTATGACTAGCACTGCATCGCCCCTGTCTGTGAGCGCCGAACGATCGTCAAAAGTTACATGCTCAAACAGGACAGGGTCCGGGCTAAGTAACACTACACGTGGACTGTCCGGCAGAAATAATGCCTAAGTGAAGAAGAAGAAGGGTCGAGCACCAGAACATTCTGTTTATTGTCCTGAGCTTTCGAACTCGTGCAGAAGTCCATCGTCAGAGATAGAAGCAACAGCAGAACGGGCGACAGTTATAGGGTGTGTATGCCAATCATCGACCGACAGCGCAAAACTGGAGGTGACCGCGCAGAGCTCTGTACGCCGGCGCCAGGCCGATAGATCGATTGGCTGAATTCTCATCCGAGGCCCAGGCTTCAATCGATTCTCGGCCTGTTTTGTTTATGGCGTGTATCATAAATAATGCCCCCTGCGCGACGATTTGCGGTAGCCGATCAGATGAACTCCCTTGGAGCGGCGAAGACCGAACAGCATACACCCAAAAACTGTCTAAATAACTTCTAAGACGGTGAGTCAGGTGCTGTGCAAGACTGGAGCCTTCGATTTAGAATAACAGCCCTGAAACCGTGGATGAGCGTCAAAGAACGTGTGCAAATTGCTGCAGATACCCTTTTAGACAGTCTGCAGCATGGTTGGCGTCTCCGTACAGGAGGAGGACAGGGAATTAGAGATGGTAAGAAAGACTTAGAAAAGCTCTCTAAAAACCACATTCACGAGTCACTTGGAAAGGGCGTTGGGACACAAGACGCAAGTCATGCGGTACACGCAAAATAGGCGGTGGCGTGATATGCATTATAACTAAAGCACACACGCACTCCTCATTACTTATGATCCTGGTGGAGTGGCGACTACAGCCAGAAACAATCACCAGTAAGTGGACTGAGACGGGAATTTTGACGAAATGCCTCACAGAGGCTAGATACGTCCGTCATTGGGTTTGACTAAATGTTGTACCTAATGAATTTGCACGATCCCAATGACAAGGAGAGTGATATCACCAGCCCTGTTTGAAGGCAAGGTAAGTTTCAAAGGTCAAGATGCCTTGTTAACAGAAATGGCCTACTGACGTCAGTGGTAGACAAACTAATCACAATTCAAGATATACGCAAGTATGTTGCTCATCTGAAAGGACCGTTCGTGGCAAAAAAAAAACATAACGCTAAAGTACTGAAAGCATGGGCAGAAATATAAGTTAGGCGCAAAGGTCACGAAATAGCTTTTTCCGAAAAAGGAAAATATTCACGGTCACGGCGGCTGGAAAGGGACAGGACGTGTATACTGGTAGAGGTCTGTGATTTCTGCCAGAGAACAGGCGCACGGTGGAAACTGGGGATACTACTAAAGTGCTGGACGGCAGTGTTGACCGCGACCAGCAGAAAACGGTTATTCTAGCGTAAAACCCTAATGGCTCGAACGCTTCAGGGGGTGGCTTCGTGCCGTCAGGAATTCTAATTGCGGTCCTCATTCGAAAAAGATGCCATGGCGTTCAAAAAAAGACGATGTGCCTTAGTCTCCTCTGAAGCCTGAAGGAAAGTACACGACGACTACATTAACTAATCCGAGTGACATTAAAACAGCGCGTTTGTGTGCAGAACTCCCAAGCCGGGATGCCAAGCAGGTCACAAGCATGAGAATAAAGACATAGGCTTTAACATGGAAGACAGCATGACGTTACAGGTTTAGAAGGGCCAGCAGCCCATGATGGACCGCGTGTGGGATATAGGCAGTTTGCATGTGCATCAAAAAGATGAAAACGCATACGCGCCTGGAAAGTTACAACCGGCTGCTAGCCGCATGACGAGTGCGACGCGCGTACACAGAAAAAGCCTGGCTAGCAACGAAATAAGGCGTCCTGGGTTTTGCATGCCGATATATACTAACTCGTGCACAAATAGCTGCAATACACACAGAAGTATTATCACAAAAAATGAGGCACGGCGACACACAAACTAACCTTTAGCAATTGTGCGTTTGTCATTCTTAGACCCTCGTGAAGTTGGAAAAAGTGTGGGTTTACGTTAGGCTTAAGCTGATCTTCCGGGGCACTTTCTGTGGCTTTGGATAGGATATCGGCAACTTCCAGTAAGTCCTTGCAGAACGACTGAATCCCAAAGAGCTTTGCCTCCTCAACTTGTCGTAGCATGCGTTTGCGCACATTTTCCGCTTCAGCAAGTGCTCTCTTATATTTGTCTTCAAATTCATTTTTTGCTTCTATGGCTTTCTTGTTCTCGGCTAAGAGGGTTTCGATTTCTGGCTTAGGAGGAACTGGCTGTTCGGGTTTATTGTCAGTGGTTTGGGCCGACTCTGTGCTGAAACCAAATATTCTTGAGCTGTGGTGTTCAAAGTAGAAGAAAATTTATTGCCTACCTCGAAGCAGCTAACGGAAGACGACTGAAGATGGAACGACAGCCAAGCGTGCGCAGAGCATTCATTCTGATAACGAAAAACCGACCGCACAGGCTAAACAGGGCGGCCACGCGGATACTGTAATAAACAACAGTGTCCGGTTTCAGAATATTAAAAATGGTTGAGTTGGTAAAGGCCCGGCTTTAATTCAGTTTCCTAAACTTAATTATAGTTGCAGTATCAATGATTGAAGTAAAAGATAAACAAGCTTGCCCTGAATTCTAAAAAAGCACTGGATATCATAGCTCTTTTTAAATGACCTGCCATGGTTTCCGCCCAGAACCAGGCCTCTGTAGTAGACGGGTCACTCACTTGTCCTGTCTTCTTTACTGCAATGATCTTTACGGCTGCTGCTCCTTCAAGGATTGGCCTGAGCTCAGAACCGTAAGTCAACTCTGGATTGCATTGATCGTCAGTGTCACTCATTCTTCAATCAGAAACTCAAGCTAGTGCGAAACGCAGTAGAAAGAGAACGGTCTGTACACAAGATATTTATATAGTGAAATAGAGTAAATGAGGACGGGGGGGGGCGGAGGACGGGGGGGGGGGCGTATAGTCTCAATGAAGATAGGGATAACGACGCTCAAAATGAATTATTGAGTACTTCACTGCTGTGGTTCTGGGGTAGGTACTACATATCACAGGAGTCATCTTCTCAACTCTGTTTGAACCCTCCTTCTGGTCCGTAAAGTGAAGAGGAAAAAAGGCTCGTTCGAAGCACAGCACCACAAATCGCCGTTTTCGTCTTCCTTTTTGACTTCCCGCCAACTTCGCCCCTGTCTGCCACTACACACTCACCTCCTCAGATGGAGCCCTGTCCGCAGGGCTCGCCGTTAACGTGGTCAGAAAGGGTACTAAACTTGTAAGAACGATGGGCATGGTGTCCTCTGTAGCCGTAGGTTGGCGTCCCGATATGGCTTAAACTTATCGAAATGCGCAGGGAACATTGCGCCGTCGGGGTATGACGCGTCTCGAAGTACGTAAGTGGTGGGGTGTAGAACGTCTACGACTACATATGGTCCTTCCCAAGGATGAAAGAACTTGGTTGAAGTGCCCAGGGGAGGTACTGGGCGGGAGCGCCACACTAGGTCGCCTAATTGGTAGGAAGTACCATGTACCCAGCGATCGAAGTAGTTTTTTGTCTTTCAGCGGCTGCTCCTAGATGACCTCTTGCAAGATTGTGGGTTGTGCGTGGTAATTCTTGTAGTTGCCACATATAGTCGTCTGGATTGTAATCGTTGGGTGCGGCTACCGGCAGGAGGGAGTCTATCGGTAGGCGAAAATGGCGTCCGGTCAGCATAAAGAAAGGAGAGTATCCCGTCGAGGTATGCTCCGCGGCGCGATATGCCATCATCACACATGGTAACTGTTTGTCCCAATCGTGGGGGGGGGTCTCTTCAGCAAAGGCCTTCAGTAATTGCGTGAGTCTGCGGTTAGTTCTTTCAACTTGTCATTGCCTTCCGGGTGAACAGGAGTTGTCCGTGTCTTATAAATGTCGAGTAAGTCGGACACATCTTGTAATAGTTTACTGTCGAAATTCACTCCGCAGTCTGAGTGGACGGACAGGGGCGCTCCGAATCGGCAGACCCAGTTGTTAAATATCGCGGTAGTTACCGACGCAGCGTCTTGTCGTAGAAGGGGTACTGCCTCTGCCCACTTGGTAAAATAATCAACCATTACTAATATAAATCGATGAACGGAAGTAGTGAATGGTAATGGCCCGATAATGTCTAGGCCTAGGCGTTGAAATGGGAAACCTGTGAACATCGGCTGGAGTGGTGCTCGCTGCCGTTGTTGAGATGCCTTGAATGTAGCGCATGTCTTGCAAGTGTTGAAAAAAATGGCCACTTGATCGCGAAGACGAGGCCACCAAAATCGCTGGCGAGCTGCGGCTTCTGTCGTGATCTGTCCTACGTGTCCTAACTCGGCGTGCAGGTCTGTGAGCACTGCATGTACTAAGGTTCCTGGGACGGCCACTCGGCTGTGTCTCGTTGTGTTGTCTCTAATTAGTAAGATATCGTTTTCAATAAAGAGTTGTGACCTCTGGTTACGGAGAGTATAGGCTGCTTCGGACGAGCCACGCAGTTCGGTATCGGTGGGCCGGTGTTGACCACGCGTCAAATGGCCGTAGACTACCGCGGTGTCCGGGTCCGTGCTCTGAGCCACTGCCCAGTGGTGTCGTGCCGGCTCGCTGGTGTAAATCGCGTTGACTTCGTCCATCGGAGTGTTGTCTTCCCTGGTTTCCGTATTAGGGGGTCGTCGAGATAGGGCATCCGCGTTAGCGTGCTGTTTGCCCGATCGGTAGATACAAGTGAACTTATACTCCCGTAGTATTTCTTGCCAACGGGCGAGTTGGCCTTCTGCGTCCTTTGTATTCTGCAGCCACTGTAGAGCCTTGTGGTCGGAGCGTACGACGAATGGCCTGCCCAACAGGTAGGGGCGAAACTGTTTAATGAATGTAATTATGGCTATCAATTCGCGCCGATATGTGCAATAATTGCGTTGTGGTTTTGACAGGGTTTTACTCGCAAAGCATAACGGTTTTTCTTAGTCACTGTTATCCGCCTGTAATAGTACTGCACCACTAGCGAACGCGCTAGCGTCAGTATCCAGGATGAAAGGGGGTGCATCACCGAAGACATTAGGAAGTCTAAGTATCGGGGCTGTTGTGAGGCGGGCTTTAACGTCATCGAACGCAGTTTGACATTCTTCTGACCAAAGAAATTTTCGTCCTTTCTCCGTCAGTCTATGCAACGGTCTTGCTATGCCGACAAAATTGGCCATGACGCGTCGATAATAGGAAGCCAGTCCGATGAATCCTCGGACCTCCGTGGGGGTTTGTGGTGTAGGCCAGGATCGGATAGCGTCTATCTTCTCCGGGACAACATGTATGCCTGCTGCGGAGACCTCGTAGCCTAAGTATGACACCTGGTGGCGGAGGAACTGGCATTCTTGTGGGTTCATCCGCAGTCCTTCTTCATGTAATGCCTCCAACACTGCGTACACGTTTTGGTTATGTTGTGCGATCGTTCTACCGAAGACGATCACATCATCAAGGTACACGAGACATTGCTGGGGATACAAGTGTGCTAGTACGACCTGCATGAGTCGCTGAAACGTAGCGGCTGCATTGCACAGTCCAAACGACATAGTCTCAAACTCGAACAATCCTTGTGGCAGGATAAAGGCCGTCTTCTGGCGATCTGTAGGTTCCACCTCTATCTGCCAATAGCCCGACTTGAGGTCTAAGGTGGAAAACCACTGGGATCCGGCCAATGCATCCATGGTACATTCTATACGCGGTAGTGGGAACAAGTCGCGTGTTGTGACCGCGTTTAGGCGTCGGTAATCGGTACAAAACCGCAATTTACCGTCTTCCTTGGGTACCAATGTCAGTGGGGAGGCCCACGGGGAGTGTGACGGTCTAATTACTCCTGTAGCTAGCGCCTCAACCTTTAATGTCTGATTCTCGGCTGGACTCTAGGCGGACTGTGACCGACCGCATCTGGCTTCCTTCCTTCGTGGCACTTTGACGCTGACAGCCTCATCTGGTTTGAGAATTCTGCCTTGACGATGTCTGCTTCGAGTCCCTTATCAAATATCGCATATTTTCCCTTCTACGAACGACAGTTTTTCCCTTTTTAAAAGCTAATCAAGTCACAACAATTTTGTCTTTTTCAAAAGAAGGAGTTCTTCAGCGCTCTCTGGACGTATTTTAATATCTGACTGTTGATTCTATAAGCATGAGCTAAATGCTGCGCAGAGTCTGTCTACTTGTTTTAAAATTCATTCAAAATTTATTTTTACTGGCCATGAAAGAACCCTCAGGGACACTCAGCAAAACAATTTATTCATTCTTCTGGCTAGCGAAACCCGTGAAAGACAGAAACGAAGCACCGACTTTCCCTTTTTGAAATGCTCTCAGGTCCACAGAGCTAATTGGAATTCCTCTAAACCCCAACAACTCCCTTGACCTCAAGTATAAGTTGGCGGAGTTAGAACGACTTTTGCATATGAATGCAATTCATCGATTGCAGTAAAGTTTATTCTAACAGCCGGTGTGAGCCAGTCGTTTGTCACTGCGAAGGCATAACAATTATCTGAACAGGAAAAACGCCAAGAAATGGGCGCATTTTAAATTCGACTCCAAATATTTGTCCTCCGGGAATTTGCATTAATCGAGATTTTGGCCAATTAAGTGCTCATGTGGCCTGTCTGAATCAAGATGTGGATCCGACTCAGCAATATCATCACCGTCGCAAATTTATATCAGAACTTTCGCAGAGTGCAAAATTCGACTATTCCTCGTTTCCGCTGCTTGAAAGTCTAGAAAGACAGATCAGCTTGCGAACGATATGCCAAGAACAACTTCTAGAAAGGCTGAGTTGCTCCTTTTGAACCTACATTTTGGCTGCACCATTGTCCCAGTGAACTCGTTTAAAATTATATTGTCTGATGTTTCTTGACAAGACGAGTATATTCAAATTCTGCGAAAATTTCCATATTATGATTGAAAAGTCAATTGGCTAACATATGTTTTCGGTAATTCCTCATCAGGCCCGTACATTTACAAGGGAAATGATCAGTCTAATTGTCGACGGGGTATAAATGCGTCTCGGGGGCAGGGTTAATCGAACTCCATGTTCCCACGCCGCCCGCATGACGGAGTCAGCGTGTTGAGGATGATGGATTTGGGGTAGGAGGGTAGGGGAAGGAGTTGGAGTGGGAGGGGGGGACAATAGACTTCCTGGTAGACTTCATCAGGGAAAAAACAACCCGATAGGCATGACAGTGGAGACGCTAAAAGGACTACTTACGCGATGCACACAGAATGTCCAATTCCTCTGTAACGGCCAGCTATACAGGCAAATAGACGGTGTGGCAGTGGATTCACCGCTTGGACCGTTTCTCGCAAACGTCTTCATGGGCAAGGTCGAGCAAACGAGTCTCAAAGATACCATTAATGGTCTTAAATTCTACGGTCGATATGTGGACGATATCTTTTGCATGACGAGTCATACCACCGACATCAATGGTCTAGTTCAGAAGTTTAACGGGGCGCACCAATCTCTGATGTTTACCGCAGAGACCGAGGAGAATAACGAGATCGCATTCCTCGATGTCCTTCTACACAGACAAGAGGATGGATCCATCCAACGCAAGATATTCAGAAAGAAAACCTGGACGGGACAATATATTAATTTTCACAGTTTTGTTCCCTTAAATCTAAAACGAAATTTAGTCCTGGGACTGGCGGCTAGAGTGCGACGCATCTGCTCTCCTGAAATTGTTGAAGCAGAACTCCAGCAGCTGCAAAACACGCTCCGCAAAAACGGCTATCCAGGCGATTCATCCTCCGGAATATTAGAGAGCGGGCTACTAAGCCGGCCGTTGCAACTGCGGAGAAGAAAGACTTATTTCTAAGACTGCATTTTCTAGGAGACGCAGCGAGCGAATTAGTGAGATTACGTCTGAGGACAGCTCTCGCGAGTGCCTCCCCCGCGGCGAACTTGCGCAAATTCCCCCCCACTACGGTTGGGGGGCAAAGACCGGCTGCCGTTACAGGCCACATCCATGTGTATTTATTCATTCAACTGCTCCTGTGGAGCGGGATATATTTGCCGTACAACGAGGCGTCCGGAAAAGAGAATACGCGTACACATGCCTGCCTGGCTAGGTACAGGTGAAAATGGATCGATTTCAAGTTCAATCCTCGAACATCTAATCGATACGAACCACCAAACCGACGCTCAAGAAGCTTTTAAAGTTATCTACCGGGCACCGTCACACTACTCTAAAGGCCTGCGCAAACGGGTGCTAGCCACAGCCGAAGCAGTGGCCATTCGACTGGCGAACCCAGCACTCTGTTGTCAGAAGACGCTGACACAAGCAGTCTGTCTGCCCTGGCCGACTCCAGTCGATGATCGCACGCCGTCCCGACGCACTGAGAGCAGTCACACGCACTCACAGCGCCTACAATCTAACCGGAAACTTTCTACTTCCCCCCTCCCACTCCAACTCCTCCCCCCCTCTCCCACCCCAAATCCATCGTCCTCAACACGCTGACTCCGTCATGCGGGCGGCGTGGGAACATGGAGTTCGATTAACCCTGCCCTTGAGACGCATTTATACCCCGTCGACAATTAGATTGATAATTTCCCTTGTAAATGTACAGGCCTGATAAGGAATTACGGAAAACATATATTCAAATTGTGAAGTGGCCGTCTACAGAGAAAACTTTGCTAAAAGCTCTCGCTCATTATGACCGAACTGTGAAAAACTTGGTGCTTCGGTGTGATTCGAACCAATGACAGCAAAGGGAAGGCTTTAGAACAGCCATTGTTCTTGCCACCTGAGCACGAGCCCCCACCGTGCGACGCGAGTTTAATTACCTTTGGGTCAATTTTACCCGCCCAGCCTACTTTGACGTCTAGATCAACCAAATCCGATGCAGCAAGCCGACTGTTCAAGCAGGATATCTAAGTAATACATGGAGACTCCACTAGACGCCTACCAGGTTAATGTAATTCACAGGTGTTACGGCAGATTTTAAACAATTCATTTTGTCATATTGAATGGGCATCCATACCTTCTGGCGTTATCGAGAGGTTTGGGGTCAATTCAAAGAGACAGACCACCGTCTTCTCTCCAGCCGTCGCCCAATCACGCGAAAGGGGTTCACGAACTGACCTCACCGGTTGATACCGTCCTCTGCTTGTCCGCCTGGAGACTCTCACTGAAATTTTTACGATCCCTCTTCGTTTCAGTCCTAAATGATCTGTCGATGATCACGTCGGGCTACTCTGTTTCGCCATCTTGCTGGTGGTTTGTTTGGTCGGCAAGGAAGTATCATGGCCACACCTACTCGCGCTTCAACGATTCTCGCGGCCTTTTTGTGTTCTTTCCTTGTCTCAACCCTAAGAAGACTACGGACGTTCGCGGCGGGAGCCCCGTGTCACGCCATATTGAGAGTTGTTTTGTAGCGGCCGAGGACGTCAGGGATAGTACACAACGAGGCAGCGAAGCAGTGGAAATAAATCCTGGCCAAACCCCATTTAAATAGAGTTATCAACGCGTCGCGATACTTATCCGTAGGGCATACATGTGTAATCGGAACAGAAGGAAACTGGAAATATACGGTAATGGTTAAATGCGCAAACAGAATGTGTTACAACAGAGAGTTGATCTGTCTGAATGGTGAAGTTACTGTGATACGCCTGCTAAACAACCAGTGGGGAACGCAGCGTTGTGGGCAATTGTAGGGGAAAGGCCGTGGGAGGTGCCGACGTAGGGAGAGCGAAAGAGGCGAGAGTTTCCACGAGTTCCGGGGAAGGGAGTCGGCAATATAGAGAGAGGAAAGGGCACCGGCCTTTTTCAACGACACGTAATTACAAGATCACTATCCCAAATCCGCGATTGAAGTGTTACATCATTCAGACAACTCTCAACAGTTCGTGGGGCATCTTCATCCGGAATGAAGACAAAATTTAGAGTTCCAGGCGTATGCATGAGTGAAAAAGAAGAGGGTTCGAGCAGGTATAACTATCGCTTGTTCTCTTGCTGCTACTATCCTCGACGATGGAATCCTGCACGAGTCCGAAAGCTCAGGACAATAAACAAAATGTTCCGGTGCTCAAGACCTCTTCTTCCTTGCTGATTTTAATCCCCTTTAAGAATTCTTTCTTAAATAGAAACGTTTCGAACCATTTTATGCTCTTAGCTGTAAGGCGGTCCTGTCTCGCACGCATATTTTAGTCCAGTTGAGTGACAGATTTTATCCCTAAAAGCTAATAACCCACATGCATTTTGTCTTCTTAACCAATTTCTAATGGAGACTTGTTTGCTGTTCTCTCACCTTTTTATATCTGACTGCCTTAACTAAACATAAATTGAACGCTGTAGAGGCGTGACTACTCTTTTTGAGATCCGTTCGTTAATGTATTTTTAAAATGTTTTTTTACAGTTTCAGTGCCCTTGAAGTAAGTTATGTCGTTCCCGCGAACTAACGAACTGCGTCTTACTAACCTCATAAACGGAGAGAGGTAAGGAAGGCCAGTAAGTGAATAAATTTAATATTCAAAATGTACAACGACCTGACCAGAGAGCATGCAAACGGCGCGAAGCTTACAAGCGGCGGAGTCTTCGTCACGTTAAAACAAATGCTACAGTAAAACAAACGTGACAAGATTGTCAAAGGTCAAGTAGTCAAGTACTTCAGCACAGTACCCCCCTCCGAGACCGGAGGGCGGCGTGAACGACGCCGGAGGACATACAAAGGTTTGGGAGAAATGAGTAACTAGACGATCGGGAAAGTGAACGTGACGTCCACTGCGGGTGATATATGCGGGAGGCACTGTTGGAGGCAGCTGAGTAGGTGTTGTAGTGGACAAGTTAAGGGTGGAGGAAGAGGTTGCAGTTTGATGTTGCGAACAAGAAGGAAGAGGAAGTATACGGGGCGGAGGGATAGGTGGGGTAAGTGGAAAAGGAGTGGGAGGAGGTGTGGGGTCAGCACATGCTTGTCCTTGAGACACGTCCGGGGGCTCCTCTGCAACAGCAGCCTTGACCCGGTCGATGCTGACTACGTCCTCTTTGTCACCTCGCAGGATCCGAAAGGTCTTTTTTTACGTGCAAGCACACGGAACGGTCCTTCGTATGGTGATTCTAACGGCTTCCGCACACGATCACACCGAACGAACACATGGGTGCAGTTGGCTAAGCCTTTACAACATAAGGTTCGGTCGATGGAGCTCGAGGTGGAACCGGGGAAAGCGAGCGCATGAATTTTCGCAGACGATGCACACAATTTTCGGGGATCTCTTCGGCACCACGAAAGGTTGGGGTGACCATCTCACCAGGGAGTCGGAGGGTAGTGCCGAAAACCAATTCGGCTGCGCTGCAGTCCAAGCCTGACTTCAGTGCCGCAAGAATGTCAAGAAGTGCAACGGGTACATTGTCTGACCAGTTTTCGGGATCTCTTGCGGCACGCAGTGCAGCTTTTAGCTGGCGGTGGAAACGCTCAACCATGCCGTTGGCAGCTGGGTGGTAGGCCGTCGTCCGAATACGTGTGCAGCCAAGGAAGTTGACGAGAGTTTGGAAAAGTGTGGACTCAAACTGGGCGCCTCGATCAGTCGTAATGATGGATGGCGCACCGAATATGGCGACTCAACGACTGACGAAGGCTTTCAAAATGGTCTCAGCTTGCACATTCGGTAAAGGAATGGCTTCCGGCCAACGGGTATAGCGATCAACGTAGGTGAGAAGTTGAGTATAGACATTGGATGGAGGTAAAGGACCTACGACATCTAAATGCACATGGTTGAACCGTGCATCGGGGCTGGGGAACGTGCCGATGGAGACTTGTTGTGGTGTTGAACCTTGTTACGTTGACAGCAAAGGCACGATCGTGTCCAAGCTTTCACATCCTTGTTCAACTCAGGCCATACGAACCTTTCCGCGAGGAGCTTCTGTGAGGCTCGAATCCCAGGATGGGAGAGTCCGTGGAGAGTTTGAAAAATAGCTCGACGCATTGAGGCAGGCACATAAGGGCGATGAAAAGGAGTCGATACGTCACAAAGGATTGTGCCAGTGTCGGTGGTCAATGGGACGTCAACTAATTGAAAACTGTCAACAGACTCGTCGCCAGGGCATCCAACACGTCGTTGTTCAGCCGCCATAGCACCAAGATCAATCCCGTGTGAGAAGTGAAACGCCAAGAGGGAAGGTCTGGACAGCATGTCGGCCACCGCATTCTTCGGGCCGTCAATGTGGCGGATGTCGGTGGTGAATTGCGAGATGTAATACAAATGAGGAATCTCTCTCGGGTTATATTTGTCAGAATGGGATCGGATGGCAAATGTAAGTGGTTTGTGGTCTGTGAAAATTGTGAAGTCACGACCCACAAGGAAGTGTCGGAAATGTTTTACGGCTAGGTAAATGGCAAGAAATTCACGGCCAAACGTGCTATATCTCGTCTCGGCAGGTGAAAGCTTTTGGAGAAGAATGCCAACGGTCGTGTCGAGTCGTTGATATGCTGTTGGAAGACTGCTCCTACGGCAACGGTCGAAGCATCAACCATCAGGGACAATGGGGCTTCTGGAGCAGGATGAGTGAGCAAGGTAGCATCAGCAAGGGAGGCCCTTATTCTCTCTAAAGCAGTCAGCGCGTGGCCACGTAACTCAAGGGGACCCTTGGGACCAGAGAGCAAGTTGGTGAGTGGCAACATAAGGTCGGCACAGTTCGGTAGGAACCGGCGATAAAAGTTTACCATGCCAAGGAAACGTTGCAACTGACGCTTGGAGGGTGGTGGAGGAAAGTCACGAATGGCCTCAGCCTTGGAAGAGAGGGGACGCAAACCTTGTGCATCGACATGGTGACCAAGAAAATCAAGGGACGGCACACCCAGAACACACTGCGAAGGGTTAATGACCACGCCAAACTGATCGAGGAGGTCAAACAATTAAGGCAAGGTGCTCTTTGTGTCCCTCGGCATTTCGACTGGCCACCAAGAGGTCATCGATGTAGGCGTACACAAACGGGAAACCACGTAGGACTCGAACAATGGACCTCTGAAATGTTTGGGCAGCATTGCGAAGACCAAACGGCATGCGAATAAATTCGAACAGGCCGAATGGTGTGGTGACGGCAGTTTTGGGAACATCCTCAGGAGCGACAGGAATCTGATGGAAGGCCCGAACAAGGTCAATCTTCGAGAAAACCGATTTACCGAAAAGAGCTTCAGCAAAATCTTGAAGATGAGGGACGGGATAACGATCCGGGATGGTCGCATTGTTGAGGGCGCGATAGTCACCACAGGGCCGCCAGTCGTCTGATGTTGCCTTGAGCACCATATGCAGAGTGGACGCCCATGGACTCTCGAACGGCCGAATTATGCCCAGTTGCAGCATGTGCACGAATTCGGCCTTCGCCGCTTGCAGACGGGACGGAGCCAGTCGTCTAGGCCGTGCGAATACTGGGGGGCCAGAGGTGCAAATGTGGTGGACAACGTCATGCTGGATCTCACAACTGTGAAACTGGGGTTTGATTATGCTGGGGTGTTGGAGGAGCAGGTCTCGGTATGGGCAAGCAATACCTGTGTCCAGAACAGATAAATTGCAGGAGTCATTAAAGGGTGTAAGACCGCGGACAGAAAGACCAGTTGTGCGGTCGAGGAGACAGGAACGCCGACAGTCAACAAGCAGATCAAACTCGGCTAGGAAGTCGGAACCAAGGATCGCATGAGGCACATCGGCAATCACAAATATCCAGGAGAATGATCGACGTCAACCAATGTTTAGCGGTAGGAACGACTACCAAAAGTGGAAATGGGGGAACAGTTTGCAGCTTGGAGATGTAGACCAGGGCTGGGACAGCTGCGCTCAACTGGAGTGGGGGGAACCACGCTGATCTGGGCTCTGGTGTCCACCAGGAAACGCCTGCGAGTCACATTGTCGCAGACATAAAGGTGCGACCAGAGCTGGGAGAGCCAGAGAAAACGGTCGCGTCTATTCTTTGGCTGGCTGGTTTCCCCGTTTCGGTTTAAATGAACAAGGGGAAGAACATTTGCGAGCCTTGGCGGCAAAGTTTGCGTGATATCAACACAAATTGGCTGTGCGAGGTCGCGAACGTGAACGATGACGGCTAGGTGAGCGACTACAGGTAATGCGAGCAAGCTGTAGTTTTAAGGAGGCTATCTCATTCGCCATAGCCGACATCAGTTGCAGTAACTGATCGTTAATTGTTGAAGAGGATGTGGAAATCTGAGCAACGGAAAGTGGCTGGAACCGTTGAACCTCTATCATTCGGTCTGCCATTTCAGTAAGATGTCTTGCGAGCCGGATGCCAAAATCGTTTGAACATCTGCAGGCAGCCGCTCTAGAAACATCTCTTTAACGAGTTTCTCGTCGACCTGCATGTCTCCTAAGAGAGTACGCGTTCGTCGGAGAAGTTCTGAGGGCTTCCGGTCACCCAGTGATTCCTCCCTGATCAACTGGTGGTAGCGTTGTCGGTCAGATACAGCATTGAGACGAAGAATTTCCGCCTTCAGAGCAGAATAGGGAGCGTCTGCAGGGGGTTTCACTAACAAGGGTTGAACTTGTGAAATAATATTGGCAGGGAGAACCTCCACAAGTTTGTGGTATTTCGATAACTCCTTCTTAATGTTGGCGGAGTAAAAGGCTGACTCAATGCGGATAAAATAAAGTTCAGGGGCGTGTTGCCAGAAATCAGGCAAAGTGAAATGGACGGCATGAACAGACTCGGCAGGAACGTTAGGTTGTTGAGTTGAGGAAAACATAATAAGCAAAATATAGGTAGCACAATATCGCGAAAAGGTTAGCGGGAAATGTAAATGAACTAAAATTTAGCAAATAAATACAGGACGTTAAATGCCATTAAATGTTACAGAAGGAAAGAACTTAAGTCTGCGCTAACGTCGGGAGTCACCAATGACGTAAGTTATGTCGTTCCCGCTAACTAACGAACTGCGGCTTACTAACCTCATAAACGGAGAGAGGTAAGTAAGGCTAGTAAGTGAATAAAGTTAATATTCAAAATGTGCAACGACCTGACCAGAGAGCATGCAAGCGGCGCGAAGCTTACAAGCGGCGGAGTCTTCGTCACGTTAAAACAAATGCTACAGTAAAACAAACGTGACAAGATTGTCAAAGGTCAAGTAGTCAAGTACTTCAGCACACCCTCGTTGTCCACTTTTTTATCCCTAAAGAAGATTGTCAACGAGAAGAGAAAACCATGGAAAAGGTCCCTCATTGGTAGGACACCAGCATCTCATAAGGCTTAAAAGCTTCAGGGAAACCAGATCAAAAGTCTCCTCCCCAGGGATCAATGGGTCTTCGAAAAGGATCTCTTGAACTATGCGATAGTTAATCTTAAAGTCCATTAAAGTAATATAGGGCAGCGAACGAGGAATAAGGGTTCTATCCCACTGTTGAAAATTGCCGAAGGTGCAGAAATACCAAACGCCAAGGATGAGAGTGTGCATCTTGCTGAGTTAATCCGGTCTTTTTTTTACAATACGGACCAAATTCCTTCTACCCACGCATGATAACGAGGAAATATTAACCATTGAAACAGTCCTACACTGACGAAATCATTCAGAACAAATTGCAAAACTTCAAAGTATCAAATTTCCTAAATCACGAAGAAATCTCGCCCATCGGAGGATTTAGTTTCTGAAATGGCAAAGACGATAGCATTGCTCTTCCTTGCATCCTTCCTTCCGCGCGCCTAACCTCGGATCGGAAGTCTGAAACCATCACTCTGTTATTTAACAGTGGAAGTCGAGCATGTGCGAACAGCTGGACCTCCAGAGGCTGACCCCTACATGAGAAGTTTCAAAGTTGGACGACAAAATGATCCAATGTCTGGGATCACAGCCTCATGAAAGCCATCGGATAATTCTCAACCTCTTTATCCTTTCCAACATGCAGCTACGGCAGGATCTCATTCTAACTTTTCGCATTATGCATGGTCTGGACTGTTATAAATAAATAAATAAATAAATTTTAATTTAATGCCAGTTTACAGGCATTGTCAAGGGAAGCGATTAAACACAAATCCGACCAGCAGTGTTGCCTTGTACCCATCAGTATTTTCACTCAGGCTAAATGTGCGTTTTATGCGATCACTCCTTAAAACCACAAACAGAGAAAGCTACAATTGGTGGTTGCATGTTCTTCTTCAGTGACAGTGGTTGCAGCGTGCAATGCTCTGCTTCCTGACGTTGTCATTTCAAGAGCATATTCATTTAAGGCCCAACCGACACGCATCATGCTTCTCACTTACCAGGCACATGTCTTCAACGGTGCGTCATTTCAATTAACTATGATCCTACTGCTCGCAGCAACTGAGCAAGCGTTGGTGTCTATATTTGTATGCCTGCAGGCAGTTGCTTGCTTATGGCATGCAATTACGTAAACAACTACCTTTTCAATGTTTTTCATGTGTCGGTACTTTTTTCTTCGACGTTTTATGTGAATAATAGGGAGTTGAGTGAAATTAACTTGCTTTTACCTTAATAAAACTGAACTGAAGTGAAGACGACGTAGGAACTCCCTCCTATCCCGGAATCTTGCACTAATTTCCAGGGAGATTGTGTCTAATGTTAAGGTTAGGGTTAAGGTCGGCGTTATGACTGAGGTTAGAGTTGGGGTTAAGGCCAGGGTTAGAGTTATGGTTCAGGTACATGTTAAGTTTTGGGTTAATTTTAGCGTTAGGATAAGGGTTAGCGTTAAGGTAGGGTAAGGGTCAGGCCAGGTTTCGAGTTAGAGTTGACTTTCAGTTTAAGGTTGAGGGCAAGGTCCATGTTTAGGACGCGAAAATATTTGCCCGCAATGCCACCTGTATTACGGGCGATAGGTTTGTGTTCCCTCATCCTCAACTGGACGAAGGCTTTGGTCGTTTCCACCAAACAGCGTCTCCCCTTCTTGGCCATACATGCATCAGTTCAATCTCATTTCAACTAATCCGGAGAAATCAAGCAATCTGACCGTTCGGAAATGTAGTTAGACAACTCCCTCTATCTCCGCTCACTTAACACTTTTAGTCATTTATAAATCACTTGCAGCTGCAACCATCACCTATGAATCACTCAAAAGCGTACAACTGATGTCTGGGGCTTCTTCTTACTCATCAAGGTGATCTCCTCTTAAATTCGACGCAAGAGGTCCCATGCATTTCTGCCACATGCCCACAGCTGTACCGCACCTATTTCGTGATTCCGTAGCCCATTTAGACCTTACGCCTACTAAATAACGGCTTCTTACCAATAAAAGAATTGCTGCATACTTTACGGTTTGCTATTTTTGACAATATTCAGTTATATATTGGAATAATCCTTTTCTAAGCATGCCTGGTATCGACCAAGAACCTATAAATTATCCTGCCAGTGGTTCTTACATGAGTCTTCTGGACTCCCTTAACCTCCATCCTAGTTGAGATTTCCATTCAATTAATACTTATGACTTTCCCCTACCCCCTCCAATCGCTATCTTTGCTCTTACTCCCCATTCCCATGCTTACTACCAGTAATATTCTCCCTATCTCTTACCCAATAAAGTCGTGGTATTGCAGTATTTTATCCCAAAATTATCTAGACCTTTCCTCAGCCGTCGATTGTTGAATATCCCTACATTACTAGGCCCCGCACACCAAAGGTTATCTTCGGAATGTTATACCTGTTACTAATAATATCTCAGTTTGAAACCGCCGCCCTTGAGATTTTATCAGTGATGTGGAGCCTGCGACTGGTTTCACAAAATGTTAATCGAAATCCCGAAATGCGCTTTCGGTTAAGAAGGATTGCCTAGGTTTGACTATGACACTAATTATCGTGCAGAATAATTCTAAGGTAGTTCAGATGACCTAGATTCGTTTTGGAATGTACTTCTTTTCAGCAAACAGTGTTCATTATAATGATATGAATTTTTCTATTCATTTTTGATGCCCTTCTGACTTTCAATATTTTTTACGGAAAACATGCACAACAATGTAGTTTCTTGTACGCCATTGACAGAAAATCACTCCTTTGGATTTTATACGTAAAATAAACACATTTGGGCTTTAAGAGTTCGTAATTTCCGAATAATTTTGAGTTCGATCTTCCTTCGCATTTACGTCTAGGGTTTGAGTTCGTAAGCTGTATACTTTCTGTGTTAAGAAACTCATACATTCCATCGTGTCATAAAAGGATACTATATGGGGTTCACAAGATTCTACAATGGATATAACTAAATTGCATACTTCGCGTGGAGAATCGATAAACTAACAGATACGATGCTACCGGAGTGGACATGTACGGTCCCCAACAATCTCATGATTAGAAACTTTTTAAAACCGAAGGATGCATTCTATTCTAAAAAGGTTTAAAAAAATGTGAAAATCGAAAATT